ACATATGAAAATTATATATATTTGTGGAAATACCTTCTAATATTCATAAGTGAATATATTCACAAGTGAATATACCTTGTAATATTCATATGTGAATATACTGTGTAATATTCATAAGTGAATATATCAAGAAATATTCACAAGTGAATATACTATGTAATATTCACATGTGATATACCATGTAATACTATGTAATATTCACATATGAAAATATCATTTAATATTCATAAGTGAATATACCATCTAATATTCACAAGTGAATATACTATGTTAATATTCACAAGTGAATGCATCGTCTAATATTTAAATATGAATATACTATGTTTATTATATGCTATATTCATATATGAATGATACTTAAATTGTAAAAAAAATTAATCATACTTTTTATTCATAAGTGAATAACGAATGTACTGTAATTAATCCTGATGCATTTTTATTCACTTATGAATAACGATAGCTGAAAATATAAAAAAAAAAAATTTATTTTATCTTAAAACTATATCAATATGGATGTCTATTTGTAGAGAATAAAAAACCATGATTTTTGGTATATTTAAAATCATTTTTCGATAAAAATAGCTTTTTAAAAATTAAAAAAACGAAAAAACTATGTTTTTGTATATATTAAGGTAATGATTAGCATAGTTTAAGGAAATATGTTTTGTTGGAAAACACATGTCTATTCATTTCCCATTTCCGCTGGTACGACGGAGGCTTTTGCGGCAAAAATAAATGAGTGACTGAAAATGATTCCCCCATTCTCAACCTTTTTTTTTTCTCAATTGAACCCTCCTCTCTCTCTCTCTCTCTCTCTCTCTATATATATATATATATATATATATATATATATATATATATATATATATATATATATATATATATATATATATGCTACTTTGTATATTTCCAGCTTCTAACTGAAGTTGGTTTTCCTTTTTTTATAAATTGTTTGGCCGTTCAAAAAAATATAATGAAAGGAGATAGTGATGCTCCTAAATCACATCATCCTTATATGTAGTGATTACATTAAATAAGTGATTTTAATCGTCTATATAGAATACCTTAACAACCCTCAGATTTGGCACTTAGAGTTTCCTTAACAAATACTTTAAATGCTGCTACCCATCAATTCTATTAATATTTCATTAGCTAAGTGATTTGATAGACATGATTAACAATTGTGCTAGTTTAATACATATCTAGCACACAATTGTAATTTTGCCAAGAATTCAAACTTGGCTTAACATCGTAAAAATGGATGATGATCTCTTTGAGGAAGGGATTTGCCTCAATAATTTGTTTATGTTAAGGATGTTGTGAAAGGAGAATATTCATAGTTTTAAAAGGATAAATGGGTTGAAAATTTGTTTAGAAAAAAATATATTTCCTAGGTTTTCTGTGATTAAATCCAATAAAAACTATTTAACTGTTGCGTTGGATCTCGACCTTTGACTGATTCGACCTGGTGTTGTTGTGGTGCTAGAAAATGAGAGTTCAAACTCAAATTGAAGAAAAAGATTTATCAGACATATTGCAATCTTTAACCTTGATCAAAATCTTGAACTTCTTATACAATTGGGTTTGAGAAGGAGATGATGCAAGTAAAATTTTGTTCATTCGTTGAGATCACTTATAGACAAGGTGAGATTTCTTCCCGATTAGAATGAAATGTGTTGGATGAGTTGGCTCCCAATAAAACAAAGGTGAACTGTTTTATTTGGAGATTGATGAAAAATAACAACCTGTTGTCTAATAATTTAGATCTAAGAGGAATCCATTTACGATCATCTATGTTCTTTTTAAGAAATCTAGAACTTGTCAGATTTTCAAGTGTGGTTTGGATTTCGATACTCTCATGTATTTTCAACAACTCTTCCAATTTTTGGGCTGCTTCAACTAAAAAATCAAATTGTTCCATATTCTTGCTTATTTGGTGTTCTCTAGTTGGTTTCGAAGGCAAAAAAAGGCTCTCAGATTTTTGAATTTGAAGACTACCTTGATGAAACTGGTAGATGAAATCCAACTCAATCTTTTTAAGATGAAACATATAGAACAAAGAAGTGTAGCTTAAATTGGCATGAGTGGTGCTGTTTCCCTTTGTTTGCATTTTTTTTCTAGGTGTGATTACTATTCTTACTTTTATGTTTGGTATAAGATAATTTATTTTTAATCAACATACAAAAACTTAATCAAACCTAAAAAATATAATTATTCTAAAACTATTGTTTATTAAAAAAACAGTTTGACAAAAAATTGAACATTTGATATATTGTTTTCAGTTCATCGTCTTTTATTCTTTTAATCAATACCTAAGGTTTTGGTTGGATAGGGTTAGTGACATTGAGAGTAGTGGCATTGACAGAGGGCATGTTATAATAGCATGAAGGAACATTGAGGCTGCAAATGAAGCAAAACCAACGATCCTCAAAACCAATTGTTGTGATGCTTTACTTGTATGATTGATTACAAATGACCTGGCATATTTATATGGAAAATGAGTTCTAAATTGATCTAGAGATTTCAATACCCTATTTATCGGTGCATAACATTCTAAAATCCAAACAACTCTACTTAATCACTTCCACAAAGTTCAGAAAGATACTAAAGAACTTTAGAAGATTGTATAGTATTGTACAAGGTTTAAAAAACTTTTTTCAAGATTTTAAATTGTTTTAATAGGTGACAAGAATGACCTAAAAAAGAAAGCGGGAGTTGTTACCGAGTCAACAAGACGTAATTAAACTTAGGCAACTATGTTGTTTTGGACATCTGATTAAGAATCACCCAATCAAAATATCAATAATTAATTGTAATTTAATAATTAATTGAAATTTATTAATCGTATTTTTCTTGATGCGTTACTTATGCACTCATCCAACAATCATCTGATCAAAATTTTATTAGCATAGGGTTAACCCGAACCCAAAAACCCTGAACATTCTCCGCATTTTGGGCGGATCTAAGTGAAGGTAAATAGGGGAGGTGTCACAAATATGATTCAATAATTCGAGTTCGAGTGGTTAGAGTTGTTGAGGCCATGTGTTCAAGACAATCATATCAGCATATAGTAAATGTATGTATACACTTCTATAAAATTTATCTAATTGTAGTAAAATGACATATTTAAATATATATCCTCGAAATACTACAAAAAATATGAACCATTACATGTATGTCCCACTCAAATTTAACTCATTACTTTTTTATACATAACTAACTCCCTAATGCCCAACAAAATAACTTTATGGATCCGTCATACTTTGTGTTCGTATCGTTGTATTACCCAATGCACAACAAAGAGTGTGGACAAATGCATGTGGTGTCTAATTAGGAAAAATGTTTAAATTGTTAGAAACATTGCTTGTATTATGTTCTGTGCCCTCCAACTCTCCCATGATGGGTTTGAGATTTAGATATTATGGTCAACTCTAGACATCTAGGGATATTCATGATTCAGTTCGTTTTTTTACTAAAATCGAACCGAAACAAAAAGAATTCGGCTTTTGATCAACTAACTTACATCAACGATTTGATTCTGGTTTTTTCGATCTTTATATTAAAAAGAAAAAAAAAATTATGGTTTTTGTTTTCATGAAAGATTCTTTAAACTTCAAGAGTCCAAAATAAGTGTGTATGTGTTTGAATTTGCTCATATTAGTATGTCAACTGTATATGTAGAAGAAATTATATTAGTATGTCGTTAAACTAACCATGATATGTGTAATTAATGTTGGAGATAAAAAAAAATTAACAAAAAGTATTTAGTCAATAAAGCTTTAAATGACAAATATACGAAGGGAGTAAAATGAAACATTATTAAATAAAGATGGTTGATTGTATTAAAATTGAGCCCAAAAAAAATTAATACAACAAAAATGCCCAAAAGCAAATGGTAAAAAGTAAAAACACCAATTGAGGTCGATTCCTAATATTCAACCTTTCAAAAACATCTGATTAGAGATACTCTACCAACATATTTGATGTTATATCATTCACCACATCATATCTATAGAAAAAAATTATAATAATAAGAAAAAGTGTTCAGCATAACTTTACACCAAAAACAGTGAAATTTTGGTTTTGGGTTAAAGATGTATGATCACCGTCAATTTCTAATAATGTTTTTGTAGTTTATATCATGTTGCAAAAATTAATTTGTTTTAGTCGTTTTTTTCGTAAGAATCATATATATTACGTCTTTAGACAAGAAAAACAAAATGTTAGATTGACGCATTCAATGAACACTTAACATGATTCAACTCTCTATCCTATCTAGGGCTGTTCGTTTGGATGGATCGGTTTGATCTGATCCAATCAAGTGAATCCAAATTGATTTCGGTTTTCAAAACATGGATCCAGATAGTCCAAACTAAATTCAAATCTAATCCAATCCGATCCAATTACAATTCGGTTGGATCGGTTTTTATAATTCGGTTTTCAAAAACCGCAACATTTTAAAACGACATATAATTATAATATTACCGAATTTTACACAAGAAGTGAAAACAAATTATTTAGTTTTGATTTGAAATTAATAAACAACTACTAAGAAGGTATATTATAGTTAAATATTTTATAGATAGAAAACTTTTGAGAGAAAATGCATATTAATGTTTTTTATCGGGTGAAACGTTTTGAACCTATTTGAAAAAATAAATTACAAAGTTAATAAATAACTATAGATATATATTAAATATAAATAAATAATAAATGTTTATTCGGTTTTTTTGGACTATTCGGTTCTTATTTTATAAACCAAATCCAATCCGAAATCCAAAATAATAATTCGGTTTTGTTAAAAACAAATTCAAAAATCCAAATATCCGAACCAAATAGTCCAATCCAAATTGTCCAATTGGACAATTCGGTTTTATCCAAATAGTGAACAACCATAAATTCCTATCGAGACACGCTACATGCATTGATGCATGAAAAAGAATTCAGCAACTAATGCACAAAAAAAGGGCTCAAAAGACATATATGAGTATATAACAACTCCACTATTTTACACATCACATTATCACCTGCAAATATATATACATATGACCCGGTAGTTGGTTCAATACAAGTAGCAAAATAAATTGCAAAAATATAACCGAAATAGTAATCGGTTTTTAAAATCATCATATTACCTCCCCATTCTAAACTAACCATCGTAATCGTTAAAATACGAAAAGAACACTCAGACTTCGCAAAAACAAACGATTTTTTCCCAAAATCATTTATTCCCGCAAAATCCAGTATTTTATTTGCATTTACACTATAATAATAATAATAATACCACGATGGTGGCCATCCATGTAAGCAGTCCTACTCTCTGGTACTGACTGCCTACATCTCACCTCCCCTACCCCATTCTAACGGGACTGGGTGTTGCTATGGTTATTGTTGTTGATGCTTTTAGATTGCGTACAGTTTTTTGAAATCATCGTTCTCCGAATCTGACTGTCCTGACACGGATCCCGAAAGCGACTTACTACTCCTCGCAGACCGACGAATACTTCTCAAATTATTAGCCTCAATCCGATGCATAATCACCCAATAACACATTGTTCCTAAAGTCGAAGCTAAAGTCAACGACCCAATAACCGTGACACCAACCGCCAACCACTTCTCATTTCCAACAACAAATAAACGAAAGCGCAAGAAACGCAATCGAAACAAAAACACACGCCAACCACATCAACTTATTAATAATCGCCATCACCTGTTTTTTCGCCCGCCGCTCCACCACCACAATCGAGGTCTGAACCACCACCACCGCCAACGATATAAACAAAGCAAGCGAGTCAAAAAGCAAGAAAACAATAAACTCGGGACTCGAAGCGATATTTCCTTCACCCAAAGTGAAACCCTTAGGGATTTGGTTTGAATCATCAACGTATTGACCGGGTAATTGATATATGGCTGCAAAAGTGACTGTAGCGATTAAGACGGCGACAACGGTTGTTGAATTTATCGCGTTGTTTAGGCTTTCGTGGTGCATTTTGTTGATTCGTTTTCCGATTCCTTTGACTCTTTTGTGAGTTTTGAGGGTGTGCGCGAGTTGGTCATGCACTTCGTGTTTGATGTCGCTTACGGTTTGTTTGAGTTCGCGAGCGGTTGAAGTCAATGGCGCGGTTTTTTTCATTGATTTTGAATTTACGAATCCGTGTTCGCGTAAAATTGTCGCGATTTCGGGTCGGCGTAATTTTTCGGCTGTATCGAGGGCAGTTTCGTCAGATTTGTTGACTGTGTTTTTGTTGATTATTTCCTTGTGGTTTAGTAATGCTAGAACAATCTGCAAATGAAGCAATGTAGATGAGTTGTTATGAATTTTGACCTCAAAAGTCAAAGTCAGCTTTATTGAAACAAGAGTATGATAATCTTTAGAACAATCTACAAATGGAAGTTTGTGTAAACTTTTTCACTTGTTGAAAAAATTATCAATACTACAGTAAAAATCAAAGAAAAACCTACACCTTGACAATTTTTAGTGCTAAACGTATAAGAATATTCAAGTCCAATTCTAATCTAAAAACTAGTATCTTGACCTCAAAGTCAAAGTCAACTTGCTTAAAACAAAAGTATGATAACCTTTAGAACAATCTGCATATGAAGCAATATTCATGAGTTCTTAAGAATTCATAGGTCAAGACTCAAGACACCACCTTTTAAAATCATACTTTGTGTTAAACTTATAAGTAAATCTAAAAACCATTATTTTAACCTAAAAGTCAAAGTCAACTATCTCAAAAACCTTACACGTACCTCTTTGCGACCCTTTCGTGTAGCTATATGCAACGCAGTGTTCTCCTTTTTATCAACCATGTTTATTAATCCATTATCAACCGCAACAAGTTCATTAATAATATCCACATTTTGCCCTTTAGCAGCCATATGAAGTGCCGTTTGTCCCTTTTTATCAGCTCTAGTGGCAATTTCAGGCACTTTTTCCAAAAGTGCTTTCGTCACTTCCAAATGGCCCTTTCTTGCACATGAATGTAAAGCGGTTTTAAGGTTGCTTTTTGCGATTGTAGCCATGCTACTATTTTTCTCCAAAAGAAACTTCACCACCTCAATATGACCTTGTTCACAAGCTGTGTGTAATGCGGTTGTGTTTGTTTGATCGAATGTCATTGAAAGCTCGGGTTGTGCTTCCATAAGAACTTTTAATACCTCTGAAAAGAAATAAGTAAATCGGATTTTATGTTAGAAGAATCACATTTGTTGTAGCATGATAAAGGTAAATTTACAGAAAAACCATTATGTTTTGGGCTACGTGGTATTATCACCGGTAATTTTCAAAATTAACACGTGGTTATATTAGGTCAAACATGGTTAAATTAGAAAATAATACTAAATTTTATGGTTTGATTGAAAAAATAAATAAAATGGAAGTCGTTAAACTATAAAATTGCCAAATAAATAAAATATCAATGGCGTTTATTTAGTTTGTCCTTTAAGATAAATGTAAAATTACCTAATTAGCCTTGATTATCTGGTTCTGAATCCGATTATTCAAAGCCAAATAGCTCCTTATGCTAGGTTCGTAGCTTAGGTTATAAAGAACTCGTACCAATCCCAAGAAAAAGTTACTACTTTGACTTTTTTTAGGTCAAACTTATTACTTTCTGAATTCAAGATTGAGTGTTGATCTTCTTACAATCCAAAGATTCTATATTTTTAATTATATTTGTTATATACTAGTCGATGGGAATCGGGTTTTTTTTTTCTTCTCAAGAACTAATATAGTAATACATCAATTCTCAGCTCAATTTAAATGGATTTGACCTTAACGATCAACGATAAACGAGAGAATTTAAAAGCGAAAACAAGTAACAAGAGCTTGAATTCGAATTCATACCAAGATCTCCTTGTTTGGTTGCGATATGGAAGGCATCGAACCCACTTTTGGCCTTGATACCAGCTGCCTCAAGGTCGTAATACTTCATCATCTCTCTCACCAAATCAACGCAACCGTATTCAGCTGCAACATAAAGAGGGGTTTCGCCTGATTGATTGGTCTTCGACAACAATTCATTCAATTTTTGTTCATCTGTGCTACTTAAGATTTCCACAGCTGAATTTATATCCCCTGCTCTAATTGCAATATGTAACGATGTATCATCTTTTTTCTCCATTGTTCTAGTTCTGCTTAAGCTCTGATGGCGGTTTCCGGCCACCGGAGAATCCATCTGATTGAATTATAATCAAAATCGTCGTATCCTGATGAAAAAACCCAACTTTAATAAGTTATGAAATAAACCCATATCAATCACAATTTTCAGGTGGGTTTAAGTTGCTTAGATCATTGAACAGCTGTCGTGCTCGCTATTCGGTTTTAATAATGAAGAATTCATCGATCATAACTTAGAAATTGATCCGAACCAGAGGGGAAAAGGTCAAAACTAACCTAACTTGAAAGAAGAAGCAACGTATTGGGCGACAGATATCAAAAACTGATTTATAAATCATTAAAACTTAAATCCCTACCTGGGTTTTGAAGAACAGATTTTGTTGATGACTGGATCACTCAAACCATATTGGAAATCGCATAGAGAATTAGAAACTCTGAGGGACAAATGAGCAGAGCCAGCAAGACACTGGGGAGAATGATTAAAGGGCAGAAGAATCAGAGAGATGAGAGGTGGATTATTATTGGATTAATTGGTTGAAAATGGAGGCAAGCAAGTAAAAGTAAGTGTAGTAATTTCAAAGGATTGGGGAAGAAAAAAGTGGGGTTTAATAGAAAATAGACATTAAGCAATCATACGCATTCTTTATGTGGTGGTGGTCTCATGGATGTTCTGAATCCTAATATTCGTTTTTTCTTGCTTATGATTTGACTATTTCGTGAAACCTCTTGAATGTTCTTTAACCATGAATGACCAAAAAAACCATTTGGAAGGATTCGGTTTGGACCGGAACCGAACCGAACCGAACCAACCAAATATTGTATCAAACCAAACCAACGTACACACAAATGGGTCGGTCATCGGTTCTAAATATTTCTATAATTTCGGTTCCACATGGTTTGGGTTTTATCCGGAACGGAACCGAAAGTTTAAGAGACAATTATAAATTAAACCAGATTTTTCAATATAATTCCACTTGGTTAATTTTAAGACAAAACTGTAAAAATAATTTTTGTGGTTTGTATTTTTTCCGGAAACATGCCTAAACCTTAATAAATTTGGATAAATGGTCATTTTGAGCAAGTTTCTTTGTAGAATTGGTCTAATATCTATTTTGTCTTTCTAATTTTTTTTTCAATTATTTTTATTATTTTTTCATTTTTATTAATAAAAAAATCCCCCAACCCATCCTATCCCTTTTATTATTAAATAATTTGGACCCACCACTAGGATGTGCATGGGTTGGTTTGAATTGGTTTTGGATCCAAACCGAAAGTGATCGGTTTCTGGTTTTCAAAACTCAATATGGTCGGTTTTTGGTCGGTTCAGTTTTTTCAGATTTTGAATTCGATTTTGACAGTTTTCCAGTTTCTTGGGTTCAACTCATATACTCATGGGTTATGGGTTTAAACTTATGGGTTCAGGGTCAAAACATTCATAATGGTATTTCAAAGCTTTTCTTGATTTTTCTGAATAAGTATTTATTTATTAGACTGGAATGAGTGGGAGGGAAGCTTCTCTCACTTTTTGTGGGCCATACCCCTCTTTCCCTCACTCTCCTTTCCCTCACCTAAAAGCCAAGGAATTGGTGGGAAGCTCTTCCCTCACTTTTTTTTTTTTTATATATTAAATAAAATAAATTTTTTTTATTTATAATTTTTAAATTAATATCAAACATAAAATTTAATTAAAAATAAAAAGCATTTCATTAAGTAAAATAAAAATTACATTAACCCTAATATTTAAATAAGTAGAAAAAAAAACCGCAAAAAAAAAAAATCAAACAACCTACGACATAGTAAAAATTATTAATTAATATCCTAATTTTATCTAAACCTAGATACGTCACTCGGAATCATCGTCTTCGTCCTCGCCTTGATCATCTGCATCATTCTCCCCAGCGTCACTCTCGTCGTCGGAATCTTCACTCTCGACGAACATATCAGAATCCTCGTCTGATTCGTCAAACAAATCATCGTGAGATAACTCGTGCGGGGGCTGAATATGAGCCCTATAAATGTGCTCCACCAAATCAGCACGAAGGGCCTGATGAATGTCGCGATTGTGTACTTCTCTTCTATTCACCCTATACTCTTGTGTACCAACGGCTACTCCTTCGACATTTGGCAAAACTTCATTTTCGTTGTATCGGCATATCGCTCTTCCTTCGTCTTCAAGAATCATATTATGCAATATGATACATGCATATATTACGTGTTGTAACCTTTTCACCTCATATGACCTTGCCCCGACCGTTAGTACTTGCCAACGTCTCTTAAGTACACCAAATGCTCGCTCCACATCCTTCCTAGCTGACTCTTGCGCCTCTTTAAACTTTTTCCTTTTCGGGTCGTTAGGACATGTAAACGATTTCACAAAAACAGACAAGGGAGGATATATACCGTCAGTAAGATAGTATCCACGCTTATATGCTACCCCATTTGCTTGAAAAGGTACATCGTGTGACTTTCCAAGTTAGATATCGTTGAATACAGGCGACTGGTCTAGCACGTTGATGTCATTGTTTGCACCAGCTGGACCAAAGAATGCATGCCATATCCAAAGATCATGTGATGTGATAGCCTCTAGAATGATCGTCGACTCTTTGTGGTCGCCTCTCATGTACTGACCACGCCATGCGTTGGGGCATAATGACCAACTCCAATGCATGCAATCGATACTACCTAGCATTCCAGGGAATCCATGTTTGCCTTCATGCACCGTATACAATTGGTGGATATCGTTGATAGTTGGTTTGCACAAATATCGTTGCCCATAAACCAAACAGATCGCTTTGCAGAACTTGTACACAGACTCCCTCATGGTACGCTCTGACATCCTAAAATACTCGTCCCATTTGTCTGCGCCCATGCCGTATGCTAGCTGACGAATTGAAGCCGTGTATTTTTGAATGGGAGAAACCTTTTTTTCCCCTTGCATCCATTTTCCATTGGAAATATAGAAAGCGGCCTTCCAAATCGCCAACAATACGTAAAAATAGTTCCTTTCTCATCCGGAACCGACGTCGAAACTTTACAGCGTAGACGGCGTCATCTGCAAAATAATCTTCTATAAGGCGATCGTGTCCGGCTTCGTGATTTCTACGTAACGGCGACTTTCTTATGTTAGGTCGTGCACGTGATGTTTCACCTAGTCGGTTTTGATAGTATGCAACCGTTTTCGCCATGACGGAACCGATAAACTTAGCCTCATCTACTGCCGTCGAATCGGATGATGAAGATGATGACATTTTGAGTAATATTTTTTAGAGAGAAATATAGAGAAATATAGATTATGGTTTAAAAAAATGATAAAATGTTTGAGTATTTATAGATTAAGAAAAGGGAAGGAAAAAAGAAAAAATATATATATACATATGTAACGGCTATATAGCCGTTTGAGTAAAAAAGGAAAAAAAAAAAGAAAAAAAAAACTCGTCGGCCAATGGTTAGAAGAGAGAGAGAGAGCGGGACTCTCTCCCCCCAGTGTCTTCCCGCGGTTCCTTTCCCGCACCCACGGTGCGGTGTGCATAAGTGCGGGATCGGTTCCCGCTCCTTCCCCGCAGTCCCACTCCGTCCGGCCTTAGGATTATAAACAATAGTCTTAATATAACCTACCCTTTTTTTTAATTTAATTAAAAGATAATATATGTGCATATAATTTATGTGCCTTTCATTACACTTAGAATCTTTTAATAATATTTCTTTAGAATGTTTTTTATGCAACCAAACATGACTTCTTATTTTATTTTGAGATTGATCATTATTACTGTTTTTGAATAGATAATATTCGTCGACTCATATGATGATGATTGGTTAAATTTCAAATTGTTATATAAATACATGATTATTAATAGATTGGTGTTATTTTATTTAATTTGCGAGCACTCAACCCACAATCAAAATTCAACCTTTCTTTCTGATTTGGATGATTGCAAAGCTATAATGATGAATAACAAAATAATTAAGACTTTTGCAAACTGAAATTCATAATAATAATAATAAACTATCTTGTGCATTCACATTACACTGAAAGTCATCTTCAGTGCATTCAAAGGACTTTGTTTAATTTAGTTAGCCACCAATTTATCTATGGTTAGTATTTGTCAGACTTTATGATGGACTTGTATAAATCAAAACATTGTAATGGTTGGTGATATTAAACTACCTAATATGCTAACCAACAAGTGATATTAAATTAACTCATATTAAGCTTATATGGGGTTAGTATTTTTTTGGACTTTAGTTACCTTATAGATGACATAAGTGAATTTTATCACATCACAATGTTTAACCATCTATTAAAGTTTTACACAATTGTTCATCAAATTAGCCAACGATATTCTAATTGGCCGTTAATATCATATTTATTTATAAAAATTGGCAAATGTTTTAGAATTTATGATATTTAATTTTCAATGATAAATGGTAACTTTAATGTTTAGCTTGAATGACTGGACCAAAGAAAGGTTGTTTAAGTTTGACGTTTGAGTTTATTTAACACTATATTAAGCAATTGTTTGAGTTAGTGTTCAAGGAACCCAAAGGCTAATTGGATGATAACTCACACAATGAATTTTTAGCATAATATGCATAAATATTCTAATTTCGTCCAAAGGTAATTGCAATATTTATGTAGCATAGTATAATTTTAAGATACCATTATATTCAATTGGTGGTCTAGCCAAAGCGAAACTGACAATTAGATAAGGTATTTATAAAACCCACTATTTTGGTGTTAATGGTAGGTATATTGATATGCGTTAATTTTTGTTATCCTATAAATCATTTTATTATCACTTTAAAAATGGGCAATGCTCAAAATAAGTGAGATGGGTTTGTTCTGGTAATATCCAAAGGACAAGTACAAATGTGAGTGGAACAAATAAGCATCATGGAAAACCTATTTGCAAATTATGTCATAACAAAAGGCGTATCTAAAGAGATTTCCATAAAGTAAATGTAAGTTATATGCATTTATGATTTACGAGTTCCATGATCTTAATGTTATTATAAATATATGATGGATTGATTATCACTTCCAAGGTGCATGTGTTTTTTATAGGGATTTCATACAATCCGAAAGTTGGATGAAAATCAAGGAGCAATTAAAGTTGGGAATGATGAAGACTTAAACATAAAAACAGTTGGCCCACCTTCATTATGACTTTTTTTGGAAAGTGGTTACTGTTTAAGTCTTAAACTATTTATGTATGGAGTATAACTTGAAACTAATTACTTATATCTAAGTTAGTGAATGTTGGCTATACTTTTATGATTTGATACAATAATGTAAGTGCTAGTTTCCATTCTCATATTGTTCGTTATGGTTGTTTGGAGGAAATCCTCTATAAATTATAACTAAACATCCATTTTATTGAATCTTTAATATCGTTTAATGTTGACCAGAACTTAAATTGAGAATCTTTATCCACATTGTGGCATTAAGGCTTGAGCCATATATCCCAATATAGATTGATACATCTTCTCAAATATGAAGTCATATTGTAAATTGACTTCTCAAGATTCAATAAATTCATTACATGCATCAAAAGGAATAAGTAAGGATCTACAAGATGTACAACATTACAAAATCTTATCATCACTGACATATATAGATTC